AGAGAGAGAGAGAGAGAGAGAGAGAGAGAGAGAGAGAGAGAGAGAGAGAGAGAGTTTCTAAACCTCTCCCAAGTAGTCATTTCCCGGTGACCAAAGGACATTCTTTATATGACCCAAATCCTTTGATATATACTGAGATTTTTTTTAAAAGACTCAGACTATGACTAATTTTGCTAAATATTTTTACAAATACTTAAAAATGTGTATGCTGCTCTTGATGAATAGAATATTCCAGAAAAATTAACTGGGTCAACTTAGCCAGACTATTCAGCCTCTCATGTCTTTGGTAATGTTTCCCTGCTTGTCTGATCAGTGATTGGCGGTGTTCAAAGGTCTGGCCAGTTGTACTTCGCAATTCTGTCAGTCCTGAGTTCATGGTTGGTTTGGATGTGGCACTGGGAACTGATGGTAGGGCCTCACACGTGCTAGGCAAGCTCTCCACCCCTGAGCCATAGACCCAGCACGAAATGACTTTTTAAATTTTTGGGACAGGGTCTCACTAAGTTGCCCTAGTTGACCTTAAACTCACTCGGTAGTCCAAGCTGGTTTTGAACTTGTGATCCTCCCTCTTCAGCCTCCTAAGTAGTTGGAGTTACAAACTCCTATCACCAGGCCTGACTGCTTCTTATGTCTTAAGGCTCTATTGATATTGACACACACTCTGTTGAACATGTAAAATTATTGTGTCCGTTTGAATGGCCTCTTTGCTGTTTTTTAAATTAGATTTATTTTTATGTGTATGAGTGTTTTGTCTGCATGTACGTATGTGCACCATATACGTGCCTGATGCCCTCAGAGGCTTGAAGAGGGTATCAGAAAACCTGGAGTTGGAGATGGTTGTGAGCCACCAGGTGGCTACTGGGAACCGAATCCGTGTCCTTTGCAAGACCAGCAAGTGCCTTAACTGCTGAACCATCTCTCCAGCCCTTACTTTGTTGGAGTTTTGTTTGTTTGTTTTAGAGAGGGTTTCTTCTCACTAGGACCCAAACTCAACGTTTCTAGGCTGGCTCTGAGTATTCTCCTCATGCTTAAGCAACTGTTAAAACACTGATTGAACCATCTCTCCAGCCCCAATATTTACAGACTGATCAAGTTATCATTCTTCCAAGTATCCAAAAGTTCAAAGACATCAAAATTCAAAGTAACAAGTGTTTTTGAAATAAGTGAAAAATAGAAACATGACTTACTAGAGGTTTTTTAATTAGTGGACAAAATAATAGATTTCATTCTGACACCTTCACAAATGTATACCATGAACTTTGCTGACACCTCATTGCACACCCGGCCCTCCACATACTAAGTCCCCTTCTACTTTTCAGTCACATATAGATATAA